CGGCCGTTGGAATCATTGGTGATATGGACGGCTATTGGATTTTGTTTGAGCCGTTGGAATCTTTCGTGATATGATCGGCGTGAGGCGTTGAATTTCTGAGGGGTTTTGATCCGGTGGCCGGGTTTCCCCTTTTCTTTTGGTTTGTCGTTTTGTTTCGGTTTTTCGGACGTATTTTCGACGCACTAGAGGTTCTTCACTGCTGTAAAGAACCAGAGAGGGTGTTCGTGCGTAGAAGTAGATAGTCGAAAAGTAGCCGTTACGTAGGACGCAGCTGGGACAACTTGAAGGGTATCTGCTAAGAGGCTTTGGATGATAGTGCGGAGTCCACGTGTTCTCTCGAGAATTGGGGTCCTCTCCTCCTTCTCCCTCTCTCCTCCCTCATGCGAGCTAATACACACAGTTAAACAGCAGCCCCAAGTCCGCCGGCCCTTAACAGGGCTAGGGCTCACGAACAGTCTGCACAACTAGCAAAAGCCGTCATGACGCTTCCGTCCGCCTTCGATTGTTCACGTATCATCATGCATCCATCCTTGACCCCAACGTTGCACCCGCTCCGCGTCTCCCCTGCCTCGAAACACGGAAAAATAATCCAGATTTTGGAGAAGTGCGTGCCCAAGCTCAAGACCAATAGCGACGGGCTTCCCGGCTACGACGGCGTGGGCGTCTTTAACGTCGACGGCGAGCCTTGCGTGGCAACGATCCCCGGGGCTTTCGTGTCGTAGTCGGTATCCCTCTTGTTGTGACCGCGTACACTTTTCGTTTGGGACCTATTGTAGAGCGATCGAGCGGCAATAGCAGCAGCAGCAGCAGCAGCAGCAGCGGTGGCAGACGTCCACGCACAGTTCTTGTGGCAGGGCATGTGGTCATAATGTCATAGTAATCACTTTAAAGGTCCTTCGTGGGTCGCTACACACACTGCAAGCGTTCAATCGGGATAGCGCCACCAGTCGGTACGAACGACGCTTGTTTTGTGTAGGGCTGAGAGGAGGCTGGGGCAGCCTTGGGTTGGAAACAGATACCAACGGCCAACAATAGGTGGGAAGCTCTGTCTCTCCATGCCAGAGGGATACTGTATGTCGAAAACCTTTGGGCACATTTGTTTTGCGCTTCGGCAGCAGGGATTGTGTTGCAAAGCCACCACTACTCTCAAGTTTGTTTGTGTTGCCGACGGTCTCGCCCTGACCCTGTGCAAGCCACCGGTCGTGCCTGGTTGTGGTAGCCGGTTGGCTTGGATTTTTGTTTTGTTGCAGTACGAACCACGAGCTCCTTCCCGTGTTTTTGGGAGTGAAGGGAACGCAGCGATTACCGTTTTTTTCACTGGTGCTGCTGTTGGGAAATGGGTGTGGCAAAGTGACGCCGCCGCCTCGGGGGCCGCGTTCCGTGAGCCTTCACTTTTACCGAGAGTCAGATGCGTGACTACCTGTTTTTTCGTTTTTCCTGATGTACCTCGCGGAGGCTTGTGGGGCCTTCTGTCTAGGCTCATGTAACCCTCCTTTGCTCACAAGGGGACGTTTTGCTTCGGGTGCTTCACCGCATATTCCAGCGCAATCTCGAACAGAATTCTTACCAAAACTTCTCTCAAAAGTCGGGTTGATCGTTGTTATTCGGCCTAAGGCTCGACAACTCAGATGCGTGCTGCAAATGCCTTTCTCGCAACGCCACCCACAAGAGCGAAGAGTGTAGGACAGCGATGGTCGCGACATCTCCTACCGCGAAAAGGAGAGCAAATTGAGAGAAGCGGAAACACCTTGACGGTCTGTGGGATCCAAGTGCCGCACGAAGAACAGCAGATATAGAGGTAGGAATCTTGCCGCAAAAGTGATGGCGATGTCCGACGAGCGGAGAGCGGGTTAGTTACCGTCCGTTTCACTTTCAAAACACATACATCCATCCACGTAAAATACAGGCCAACACCATGTACTTACGCCCGGTGTGTCGCAATTATGACGGCAACAACATTGAAGCAGTTTCCCATGTACTCGGGGGGTGGTTTCAACTTGAATGTACAACTGCATGTTGTTTAAGCTTTCTGATCTTTTTGCCATCGAATGTTCGTGTGCAAGATGCGAGGGTTCACCAGGTACCTCTGTGCGTGCGATTCCTGGGCACATAAGAATGCTGCCGCAGGAAACGTGGTCACCCGGAGCCGCTCCTCACCATTGACGAAGCGCGATTGCACAACAAGTGTTCCTTCGTCCACAGAGAACAGCCCCCGAGTGGGGCGCAGTCACCGCAGCACACCCACGTCCGCGGCGTGTGATGTACGGAGCCTTGGACAGGCGACACCACCAGCTCAGCCCTGCAAGAGCAAAACCGGAACATCAACAGCATCTTTCTTGCAACCACCCGTAGAAATACACAGAAAACAACTGCAACCTCAAGAGCATTCATGCAGAAATCAGCACAGCAGCACATGTAGTGGCAAGCAATAAAGCAGCGGGGGTATCGATTTATGACGCGTTGCGTATTGAATCATGACGGGTCAACAATCCTGAGCAAGAAATCCCTTCGGATCGTTGTCGAACCTCTGAAGACGCTCTGTCGCTCATCACATGAGGATCGTCGCGCCAAATCGACACACAAAAGGCCCACCATCAACACGACAGAATCAACTGAGGTGCCTGAAGCTCCCTACTACACCCTTCGGATGCACGGCGATTGTGCACAGCAGTGGGGTAGGCAGAGATACTACGCCTGGAGATTTGGAGATGCGGATAGTCTAGACGAAGTATTTCGAGGGACAGCGCAGCAGCAAAGCAAGCACCGTCGTCGTGTTGATCCTTTTCAGCAACTTCAATCACTCGGCGCGAGCAATCAGCCCACCCTTCTACCTCTCAGGACACACACACAACGAGGGCAGGGAAGCTTCATGCATTGGCATATGGACACCGGAGAGAGAGAGAGCTGGCTGTTGGTTCGTGGTGGAGAATAGAGAATGGAGAAGCAGCAGCGCGGGACGTCGCAGATGGCAGTCCGAGACGTATGTATGCGTAAATGTGTGTTGTTGTTGTTGTTGTTGTTGTTGTTGTTGTTGTTGTTGTTGTTGTTGTTGTTGTTGTTGTTGTTGTTGTTGTTGTTGTTGTTGTTGTTGTTTGTTTTGTCCTATTTATTATTATTATTAGGAGGGTTCTTAACGATTCTTCGGTTTGTTGGAATATGCCGACTGGCTTTCGGAGAAATCCGAACGGACCGCCTGACGTTTCTTAACGTCAGGCGGTCCATTTTTTGAATTTCTCAGACTTTTCGGTTTGAAAACGTACAGCATTTACACACCACAGCCTTCAGGCAGGCGGCAGCGCCAGCGTACAAACATGCAGAGCGACGAGAACAGCGGACCTACCGGCGGCAGGCCGCCGAGGGGCCATCGCCGACCCGCGAGATACGACAACACAGGCGAAAGTGGTGCTGCCTGTGGTCATGGGTTGGGTCATGGGTTGCAGCAGTCTGCTGCCGCCGTTGATGATGACAACGGCCGCGGCCGCGACCCTCTCCCGAGCCACGCCTCTCGCCGGCTGCGCGTGGCCGCCCCCGCCGCTGCCGTAGAAGCGGAGGGTTCGCGATGCCCCCTTACGATGCTGTCGCAAGCTGCCGGGGTCGCCGGGTTTGCTACCACGACAACCACCGCAGCAGCCATCGCCCGCATCACGGAAAGCGGGTTCATCTCCAGGCTGCGACGCTTTCGCCGCCTTTGCTCCGCGAAATCTGCAGATCCACAGCGCTTTCCGTGACCATCCATGGTCTACAAGCTTACAGGCGACACAAGCAAGCCACCTGGGGACTGTCCCCGAGATCTGGAGTGCGAGAGGGTGCTCAGCGTGCTGGCGACTGCAGTGCAACTCGAGTGCTCCCATTTCGGAGTCATTTCGGAGTTTCTCTTCGGAAAATGCCGAAAATGAAGCGGCGCCCGAAAAATTCCGACGCTTCATTTTCAGCATTTTCCGACAAGAAATCGGCATTTTCCGAAAAAGTAGGGCGCATGTCGGCATATTCCAACAGAACAAATCTCGTTAAGAACCCTCCTTATGGGGACAGTCCCCCCATTTTTCGTGGTGAGACGTGTACTAGTCTACACTTTTCAGCGTTTGTAGAGTACTACACTTTTCAGTGTATTTTTTCGTACATCTACAACGATCCAGGGTCACATAGGAGGGGGTAAACACCAGGCAGGCCGTTCTCTTCTTTTTTTTAGGAGTTTTTACCGCGCGCGAAGCGCGCGTGCGAAAAAAACAACGGAGCGATAGCGTAGTTTTTTTTTCGCAAAAAAACTGTTTGAGATCGGTCCTTTTTGTTTCCCCGCCTGGGTTCTGCGCACGTTGAATAACACCGCCTGTCAGCCCGACCCCTGAATTAATTTCTGTTCTCAAATTGATGTCCGTGTGTGCGTTTTCATTATTAGCATCGACCGCGCTAACCGGCTGACCAATTAAAAGACGTCAGTGCCAGCGGGTAAAAATCAAGGTCCCTAGAAGGGGGCCAAAATTCGAATTCGAAAAATGCGCAATGCGCTTGATGCGAATGCCAATACGACTCTCTCCACATGTTCTTTCACGTAGACACACATCTCAGCTACACACATGCCCTCGCTCGCCGAATCTAGGAAGCCACTGATGCAAAGAGCGGAGGACAGCAAAAGGGTTATTTCAAGCCCAGCCGAAGCCAGGATATCGTGGTATGTATGCTGCATCTCCCAATTTGATGATCGTACACTCCCAAAATCCAACAGTCATCGTGTCAGCAGCTAGATGACTCACACAAAATTGCAACACATACACGGCCATAGCTCCACACATGCCCTCGCCCGAACCTAGGAAGCCACTGATGCAAAGAGC